TTAAGCTCCAACAATGTCTGACATCCACACTGTTTTTCAGAAAAAGTGATAACTACAATGCAGTGAGAGTAAATATGAACAAGTTTTACAACTTTAACATTTTGTTCTGGTTTCTCTGATGGAATTATCTCCATGGTTACACAGAGAAAACCGCCCTTGCAGGATATAAAACTAGCACTATTCTACAATGAATCAATCTAAAAAAAACAAAACAAATACACCTTTATCCCCCTTTTTTACAAAAAGCACCTCCTTTTTTTTAGAGGTGCTTGTCATATAATGGAAAAAGAAATCATTTATTTCTGTAATTCAACTTAAATGTGAAGCTAATATGCGATATAGACTCATTACATGCAAAGTGACATGTAAGGCTTTATTTGTTTTAATTGAAATGATTATGGCTTACAGTCAAATTTCAAAATATTTCTTTTTAAGGAGATTTTTAATTTGGGTTTCAACAAGCTGAGCCATGATCATCAGAATTATAACAAAGGCTTGAGATATGTCAATTTACATGTATTGAGTCTATCATATATTAGTTTCACAGTATATGTTGAATAACAGGTGAATGCACTTTTTCATTATATTCTAATATGATGAGCACCTGTAGCATTTTTTTTAACCGTCAACTTTCACAATTAACACATGGTGAAGAAAAAAAATCCACAATCCAAAACAAATATCTGCTACAGGGCCCTTAAAAAAAAAACTTTGAACTGTTTGAACTGACATTCAAAGTCCTCAATTTTTTCTCTGAAGCAGGATTTACTGTCCCAAAAAAGCTCTCCAATCTGCCAAAGACTTCCTGTACATTGATGTGAGATCTCCGTCATGTATTTGATCCAAAAGAACCTCCGTTTGTATCATGGAGAGCACAGACGACACACATTTGGGGTATGTTAGGTGCAGTGCGTAATAATACCCCATAAGATACAAGGCACCCTCTGAAATCTTGTCTTTTGGGAATGTGCATACCGGCTTGTTCCCAATTGCTACCAGACAGTTAGAAGGGCTCAACAACAGGACAGGGCTGGACAAAGGACGCTTCTTCAAGTAGGTGTTGGGGTCTTCTTTGTCCTTTGAAAACAAGAGAAACAAATCTGACATGAGCAACTTAAAACTCAGCACAAGCACTTTCAGATTATTCCATAATTGTGCAATGCCTCCATGCTCACTCACATGTAATGTGTGACTGCTACCGTAATGGCCCTTTTAATTAGTTCTTCCAATATTCTTTGAACTTTTTGTTATTGAGGACTTAAATTTGAAAGCAACCAAGTGCATGTGTGTGACCATGGTGTGACCAAAAGAAAATAATAGGTTGTACCAGTATAAGTATGTGAAAACATTTGTTTAGAGCTGTGTGTAATAATATACATATATAATACATTTTAATCAGCTTTGTATTAGATGAACTGAAACAAAGTAATAGAGTGAGTGTAAAAATAAGTGGATCACACACTCAAAACGAGATTTGAAAGAATTTTAAATGCTTTAATTTGCTACCTAATAAACCTACCAAAGATCCTATTTATGTATTCTTATAATGTATTAACTGGTTGTTTGCCATTGACGCATAAGGGACGTCAAAGCAAATAGTAAACGTGCAATTAACGTATTCATACGTCAATTGCGTTTTCCGCTATTTTCATTCTCCCAGATGTCTATTCTGTCTAATAATTATGGGGATTAGGCTTAGACCATATTTTATCGAGCCAGCAGGTGGCAGCAGCGCTGCGTAAACAAGATGCACTTGTGCCTCTTTTTTCTCAGCTTTTTGTCTGAGACTGGTGGATTTCAGTAAAACTTCCCTCTACTCAACTGGGGATTATAGGGGAACGAAACAAGCTAGTAGCTTGGATTTCAGATAGTCATGTACACAATATTCTGTGGGTCTTGAAAAATCAATAAAACTCATCAGAAAACTGCTGGCAATATGGGGAGTACTTGTTCTGAAATAGGCAGAGGCATGCAATGGTTAAGAATCACATTGAAATTGGTCATTGTGCCATTCCTACAACACATTTTTCGGGCCCTATAAATACCATAAGATCTTATGCACCAGTCTTACTTTTAACAGATTAACACCTACCTATCCAGGGTACAGCAGGTTCAAAGTTACATTTACTCTAACCTAAAACCTGGCATGTGCCATTTATTTTAGGCAATTGTTCAAATAAAGAACATTCTAATTCATACCTTCATCCATTCCCATTGGAGGCTTAAGAATCTTCTTCCACACACCCAGGAACTGCACCTTTTGCAGAAGTCACGCCATCTTGCTCTTGTTTCCGAAAGGTATCTGCTGTTGTTACTGTCCAAAATGCGACGAAGCATCATCCATCACCTAAAATGTATGTGACTAATTATTTGCAGAAAACCAAAACGCAATGTTCTCTAATAAATTCATTAACTTACATGTTCAATGTTCTTAAAACAAGGATAAGCATCCAGAATTACAATGTGCCTGCTCTCCTCTGGAACTGTATTAGAGTCCTATAAAAGCTCGTCTGGCGGTGAACTCTAAATCCAGGAGGTGAGAGATGGTTTTCTGGTTTGGATTTTTTTTCTGAAACAAAGTTTGCAAGGTCTTGTAGTGTTTTGCCAAAACTGCTGGGCTGCTAGTGGGGGGACTGTTGGAGTCTTCTGGGGGTGTTTGACTGTTACACAAAGAAAAACAAAATGCCATGAACAATAGAACATTAAAAATATAAAATTCAAAAACTAAAAATATAAAAATATTACGGTCTGTATCAAGGTTCCTGACAGCTGTACCATTAGCTTCTGGTAAATTATCTGGGAAAAAATATGCAGAGGTGAGTGGCTAAGTGGCACAACATCATGTTTTTTTCCTACAAATGACGCAGCCTCAGTCAACTTCCCTACCTCCAAAAACTTGCTTGCTCAACAAAAGTGGTGGCACGCTCAGTCGCAGTCGGCTCAGACCTACACCTGAACAAAATGTTGTTGTATGGTTGTACAATGACAAATAAAACACTTTCAATTCCAGATTAAAATTATGAGTGTACCCTCCATAATAGTGGATTCGCCAGGATCTATCTCCACTGGCTCTCTTGGCAGGAAATTTGTTGAGGGTTTTTCTGGGAGCATTTCTAGGTTTTCCTGGAGTGCTTTTTTTGGGGGACCTCATGTTCTGCAATCTTTTGTAGAGCTGTTTGTACACAGTGGTCTACAACAAACAAAAAATATGATTACTTGAGTTAAAACAATACAAATGAGCACTGTAAACATATACAGTTTAGTAATTTACCCAAGGGGAGATCTTGCATCACGGTCTTCTAACATGGGATAATATTGTACCATCGTTTAGCCATCAGAATAATTTCTGGTTTGTCCGGGTATTTTTTAGACTCTTCACATCCTTGTTGCCCTCAGGATTGCGATCATACTTGTCATTGTGTTCCGGATAAGACGGCACCTGAGATCCCTGTTCATTTTGAAGTCGCCCTCTTTTCCAATTTTGGCTAACTCAAAGTACTTTTTGCGTTCTTTGGCAACGTCCGTATCAACTTACTATACATAGTCGGGACTAAGCAATTTCACCACTTTTGCAGGAGATCTGTAGTTAAAAGATGCTGCTTTTCTCGGGTGTGGATGCCTTTGGTTGAGAATGATTCTTTGTAACAACTGTCCGTTAGGTTGAAAGCCTCTTGCAGGGAACCCTTTAAAAAAGATCATCAAATTAAATTCCATACACTAGAGTGCACTCCAAAACAGATGTATCTGTGAAATGTTACTGGGCAAATTAAGCCAAGCTCTATTCAGGAAGATAGAAACTACAAGTAGAGAAAGCAAAAGCAGATATAATGTAAGACTGCAGTAGGGCTGAAAACCAACTAATCCAGTAATAGAGCCTGTTACAAACATTTACTTTAAGTTTACTGGCCATCAATACGGACTCCACGCGATTGTTGCCACAAAAGCTTTTTGTGATGAAAAAATACATTTTTACTAGATCTACACAATTCACTGTTGCCAAGCGATTGCCAAATTACTCGATTAATTGTAAAAATAATCGATAGATTAATTGATTAGATTAAAATAATCTTTAGTTGCAGCTCTAGACTGCAGAGCCATTTGGCTTGATGGGCGTACACATGGAACCTTTTAATTTGAACCATTTTTAGAGAATTTTTTGTAAAGTACAATGAAATCAAAATGTAACATGATAAAAAGCATGCGGGAAAAGCCATAATAAACGTTTTTATTGAAAACATCAATTAAAAGTGTTTTTTAAGCATTAATACAATGTAAACAACAGTATCATCTTAATCATATATTTTACCATTTAACGTTGAACTGGCAATCTCATCTAGCTTCTCCATGTCAAGCCGTTTTACGCCTGCTGCCTGCCCTGGTAAGTTGCTGTCGTTTGCCGTAATTATAGCTGGTTAACACAGAACAAGTTATGATATAACGCTTTCCAGAGAAATTTTAAGTTACACAATTATCTATAAACAACTAAAAAGTTAATTTCTGACGCAACAAGCAACAAAAATTGCTCGCCTTTTTACTCTTCCCCTCACAACGTCCTGTCACTCCCGTGGTGAGTCCTGTATGTTTCGCGCTCAAGCCCAAGCCGAACCTAGTTGACCGGTGGACGCGACCATTTCTAAAACCGGGGTGCGGTTACACGTATTTTTGATGCATGATACCTGACGTACATTGTAAATGTATTGTGCGTTGTCTTGTATTTTACTACTCTGAAAATTAAGTTCGGTGCAAATGGATTCAGTTACCAAAATGACATTAATACAAATCACCCCCTTTTAATAGTTGGGACACTCTGCTTTGATTTGATCCGTTATGTACAACACGCATATCCAAAGAAATACCTCGTTTGAATTTGAATCTGTCTAGTATTCCGGAATCTCGTCAGAAATTGAACAACTCAATTTATCAATATGATTTGGCGTTGCTTTATATGTTGCGTTTTTATCGCGTTGACTCTCAAACAACTACTGAGTCACATTCACTCTATGCACAGTCGCAGTCCTGACTTTCGCCTTGTTTGCGGCATTGACGGCTGCCTCCGAGAGTACAGAGTGTACAACTCGTTTTACTACCATGTAAAGCGAACGCACACTCACCATCTTTTCCAAGTACAAGCTGAAGGAGGCGAAGAGGAGTCTTCCTCCGGGATGGCTACAGCCAGCCTTGGCCGAGCTGAGGAGGACGACGTTGCTGCGGTTAACACCGCGGAAGTACTCAACGAGGACGGTCAAAGTAATGGTTCAGAGGTAACTAGCATTACATAAACTGGTTGTTTGGCGCATATGTGGAATGTGAAAACTTTATCAGTAAACCCCTGTCTACTGTAGAGTATTCGGAGCAAGGCTCTGAATGCGCTAGCTTAACTAGCCTAGCCTATCTTAGCTAGCCTAGCTTAGCATAGCTAATAACAGGGAGCCAAGCTGGCCTGAGAGAAGTACACCCTTGCTTATATTTAGGGACCGTCAACATTTTACGTTACCTTTATTTTTCGTTATTATGAAAATGGATATATAGAAATAGAGGCTAAATGATACAATAAATCAAGAAATATGTCTAAAACATAAAAATGGAAGATTCTGACAGTTTTAGAATATTTAGCCGTTATGGTTTTTTCCACTTTCATAATAGCAAAAAATTAAAGTAGCGTAAAATTTTGATGGTCCCTAAATATAAGCGAGGAAGTAACTGAGATAATACAGTACATGTCCGTTCTTCTCAGTGCTCTTCTCAGACCGGCTGACGGCCCCATATCCAACCAACTTCACAGTTGAAAGCAGGGAGGACTAGTGCTTTATGTTGGGATATAAGAAATAAAATGTTTAAAGAAATACTTTTTTTTTTTATATGGTTGGTTGTAGGTATTAATTTGTGTAATTCCGTAAACTTACAGTATGTTGGAAAGAAAATGTACAGTAAAAACACAACAAAAACAAAGAATGATGATGGGTTTTGAAGGCCTTAGATTTCAAATGAGGCCTAGGCTATAAGCTTCAGTCAAGAAACTTTTGAATGTGGGTAAAGTTGGAGAAAATGTTCTCGGTTAAGGGACATTTTTAGCTTGTTTAGCTGTTGATGAATCCATTAATTCTATTTATTACATTTATCTAATTTAGAGTGAAGCGCCTGCGCGTGTCAACACATTGGGAATCAATCTTTCTAAACAAGCAACAGCCTTCCTTCTACAAGCAAGAGAAGCCAATCGGCTGACACAGGTAATTATTTTTTAGACATCCATATTACATATCAAATAATGTTTAATTTTGTTCAATTCCTTTTAGCTTTTGTTTGTGTGTTTTCTTTTTTTCTACAGAGAGCTGTTAATCAAATGGTGACTGCGACCCAGCAATACCAGGCATCATTAGTGGAGCATCTGAGACTTCAGGTGAACCGTGTGTTTGAGCAGCATTCAGAGGACCTTGGTTCACTGAAGACTGAGGCGATGGCAGTATTTGATCAGTTTGCTGACCCCTTCAGTGAAATTTCTACAACCCACCTACAGGACAAGAAAATCAAAGAACTACTGCAACCTGTTGAACCAGAAGCCGTTATGTCAAAGCAGACTGTGAGTTATGCACAAAGTGGAGATGCGAGAGCCCTTGTCATCAGGGATCATTGTTTTCATTATATTCCACTTGTAAAAAGTTTAGAACAATTGCTATTGCATCCAAACATTCTTGCAATGATTGAAGCAGGTTCACAGCAGTGCAGTGAGGGATTTTTATATGATGTGTGTGATGGACAAATTTTTAAATCACACCCTCTGTTTATGAGAGAACCGACGGCAATGCAAATAATTTTATACACAGACGAAATTGAGTTATGCAATCCTCTTGGGTCTCGGGCAACCAAAAATAAATTGCTACTGATCTATTACACCTTGGGAAACATTGACCCTAAATACAGATCAAGGCTGTCTGCAATACGTCTGCTTGCTATGGTAAAATCAAAAGATCTTTCACACTGTGGCATTGACAAGATACTTGGGAGGATTAACTGTGACCTAATCAAGCTGTATGAAGGTGTGCCAGTGATGACTGCAAATGGTGAAAAGACAATTTATGGGGCCCGAGAGACCTCGATGTGTGTGGTCCACCAGACCCATTCGAACTCCCCCCCTCCTGGAGTCGACTGGGACAGCCAGAAGGCGACGTCGTTCCCGAGCCCTCTCCGACAAGTCGCTCCTCCGTGATAAACCCCCTGAGGGGTGAAGATCCAACCTCTGGAAGATATCGCATGTGCAGCAACCCCAGTCTCACCACTGATGGGCCGCTGCAAGCAATGCCCAAGATTGACCGAACTGCCGCGGTTGGACCGAGGTTCGCCCAGAACGACCCGCCCAGGTTTGAACCGCCCTTGTCTCACCCGGCGAGAGTGAAAGCCGTATGCTCCTGGAATTCAAGACTCAGCCCCAGATACAAAATCTCGCTGGGCCGGCCACAGGGAGCTTTTGTCCATAATGATCACACACTTAGGCGGGCAACGTGGTTTCATCACTCTGGACGTGTGATCCTGCGCCTCCTCCCGAGAGGAGGCCGGATCAGCCAGTCGTCGATATACGTCAGTATCCTGAGGCCCTGACGCGAAGGGTTCTAGCGCCGCTCCACACACTTGGAGAAGGTGCGGGGGGGCCTAGGGAGTAGCCGAACGGGAAGACGGCAATACTCGAAGCCCCCCCCCCCACAGAAAACCGGAGGAACCTTCCCTGTCCCTGAGCATTGGTAGTGGAATACGCGTCTCTGAGGACCCACGGAGACATCCCGTCCCCCGGGCCTGATGCTCAGCAGCAGCTGTTGACTGTGTGCATGCGAAACGTCGCGTTGGCTATGCATGTCCAGAATGCCCGCACCCCCCCGCTCTATGTATTGAACGCAAAAGTACACGGACCGTTCATGTTTACAACTTTAAATAGTCTTATAAAGTGGGGACTGTTCCTCATTAAGATAATGCTTAATGAAGTGCATGTAAAGCTAGTTCTCATGAACAACTCATTTACAGCGATTTCATATTAATTTACAAATGCTTACAGCAAACAACAATGAATGACTTCAACTAAAACAGTGGCTAACCACTAAAAAACCCCAGTTACCTAATGTAGCTAAGGTTCTATGAATATGTTGCGAAGCCCTTTAGGCTTCGCTAATGCATATCTCTCGGAAGCATCGCTTCCCGCCCTGAGAAGATCAAACAATCCACCCTCCAATCACCTTCACATCCTGGTGTATGTGCCTATAAATAGGGCCATGCACCACAGCTCTTCTCCTTTCGAACTCAGCCGAATAAGAGAGGGCAGGTCTGCTGGGCTCGAAGCTAAAGGGCTTCGCAACATATTCATAGAACCTTAGTCACATTAGGTAACTGGGGTTTCTATTTCATATGTTGCTTCGCCCTTTAGGCTTCGCTAATGCATAACAAAGCGAAGCCCAGACCGATGTACTCCCAGCAGGCATGAACTCCGGTGATTGGAGCAAACTCGTGACCCACGTGCTCATACCGCAACCAAGCGGTAGAGACGGAGGTCCTACGAGCCATAGAGAAAGGGATGCAGGGCCACCTCTCCCAAGAGTGCCCGCGCATTCCCCAACCTGCAAAGCAGGAAAGAATTCAGAACAAACCTGGGCAGGCAGCCTCTCCCAAGAGCGCCTGATCCCCAGGATGGTAAAGCAGACTGCAGAAGGGCCTAGGCCGCCTCTCCCAAGAGCGCCTATCCTTACTGCAGAGGTCTCCAGGCCGGCTCTCCCAAGAGCGCCAACACCTCTCCACACAACCCCCCCCTGCAGACCAGTTCTCACCGAGGTCTGTCGAAGGAGGAACTAGGGCCGCTCTGCACTCAAAACCGAATGAGCCACAGAGTCAGAGGCCACCTCCAGTAGGAAAACTGCACAAAAGTCGAGGAGGAGGACCAAGACGCCGCTCTGCAGATCTCCTCCACAGAAGTGCCATGGAACAAAGCCACCGAAGCGGCAACCCCGCGAGTGGAGTGAGCCCTCAACTGGGCTGGAGGCAGCAAACGGATAGCAAGGCGAAGCCAGTGAGCCAAGCGCTGTGGAGACAAAGCAGCACCCTGACTCCTGGTGCCAAACCCCACAAACAACTGATCCGACCGTCTGAGCATCTCACAGCCCTGACCGGGCAGAGACTATGCCGCCGCTCTTCCTCCACCGAAGCATGCGGAGGAGGGAAAAACGGTCTCACCCTGACCACCCTAGATCTGAAAGACGACGTGACGAACTTGGGCTGGAAGGCCGGGATAGGGCACAACTCCATCATGCCCTCCCGATCGGGGAGGGACAAACAAGACGGCTGCACGGAAAAGGCGCACAGATCCCCAGACCTCTTGGCCGAAGCCCACGCCCACAACAATGCCGTTTTGTATGACAAACAGGCAATGGTCGCATTGTCCAGGGGTTCAAATGGAGGCCCTGAAAGGGCAGCCAAGACCACCTGAAGGTCCCAAGACGGAGCCGACCACCGGAGGGGAGGCCTGATCCTGCGGGCCCCTCGTAGGAAGCGCGCAGAGTGGCTACCAAACCCCACGTGCCCAGTGGTAATGGCCGCCGCGAACACACTGATGACGGCCTTTATTAAAGCGTTTCCCTCCCCTCCTTGCAGCTGCAAAGCCGGGGTGGCTGCTGCTCCTCTGCTTGTCACGCGCTTGGAACCAGGGAGCCTCTGGGCTCTGAGCGGTGCGGGGTGGCAGAGAGGTCCCTGTCCGAGGGATGCAGCGAGGAGAGCCATAGCAACGACCTATGCTGCAAGCATAACACCTGCCAAGCATGGACACGGCCAGCTTGCCCCGCTCGGGGGGGGAAAGGGCTGTCATGGGCCTATCCCCTCGCGGCTGATATAGTGAAGCAGAGGCACACCCTGAGCGAGCCACCATGGGCACCGAGAGTGATGTTATTAAGCAACCATCTGTGGTGCAGTAGAATTATGCCTGTCCAGCTTGAGCAGAACGTAGCACCCCATGAGCGAGCCACCATGGGCACCACTCCATGGATGAAGCGAGCAGAGTGATGTGTTACGCTAGGGCAACCATCTGTGGTGTATTAGCTATACGTCTGTTCAGCGTGGATAGAGGGTAGCACACCATGAGCGATGCCACCAAGGGCACCACTCTATGCGGCATGAATAATCCACGGCGTCAATCGCGCTCCTCCCCAGGGGAGCGCGAGACAAGCCACACAACTGGGGCTTTCTCCCGCGGCACGACGCCTGCCCAGGCAGAAGACATTGGACTCGTGGCGGTCAGTCTGGGAGAGTGCCGCCGGGCACAAGTCGCAGATCCGCAGCCTGACACCGGAGGGTGGCAAGTTCTCAGGCACGGGGATCTTGCTTGAAGACATCCTAGCAAATGAATCGAAGCTTCTCTTAGGCAAGCTGAGAGAGAAAGGAGAAGAGCTGTGGTGCATGGCCCTATTTATAGGGGACTGGCGCCAGGACGTGAAGGTGATTGGAGGGTGGATCGTTTGATCTTCTCAGGGCGGGAAGCGATGCTTCCGAGAGATATGCATTAGCGAAGCCTAAAGGGCGAAGCAACATATGAAATAGAACTGTTTTTATGTTGTGTTATTATCTGTAAGGTAAGTATGTGGGTTTAAAAGAAAGCAGTATATCATTATTAGTGAAATAAGTGGTAAAGTGAAATACTGATACCAGAAAAAAACACACAGGTAGCGACCAATGGTGTTTTCTATTGTTCCACAAATACATTTAAACTGTCCCAACAAAGAGGGTACTTAATGTAAAATGTGCTGAGACCTTAGAAAGCATTTCCTATTTCACTACCAAGACCTGATTGAAAACTAAAGTTAGGCCCTCCAATTGTCGGTACAGTAAATGCAAAATCAATGCAAAACAGTAGTTACAAAAATGAATATTGAATTCATTTGGTAGTGGTCCACTAATAACAATGTTTAAGTCCATTTTTGCAAGGTCGCCCAATAGCAGAGAAAACTTGACTTCTCATGGATGTCTACTGCCCCCACGTGGATCAACAATCTATTTACACCGTGATTTTCTGATAAGAGCTTGTGACTCAACCTTCTTATCTCATCCACTTTTGCAGAGTGTACCAAAAATGTTTTCATACCACGTATGTTTACATTTCTGATGGAGCTGTGTTTCAGCAGCATTTGACCATGACTGAGACGGAGACTGAGACGCTGCCACATTCGATCTTGAAGAAGTTTTAACTCCTGTTTGAGTGACCAGCAGTCGTCAAAGTTTTCTTCTTTTTTTCCGTCCTCCCGACATACTTCAAAAATTCCACAGGTTTTGTTTTTAAGTTTGTAAAAGCAGTAATCCGCGTTTTGTCGAATAAAAATGTTAATACAAATTATTAAAAGTAGATTAAAAAGAAGGCAAGCAAGGAGCAGCGAGAGAATGCGACCGCACTGTACAACAGCGGGAAGACAAAGATATAGGAGTTTTTGTCCATTCCTTGCTCTGAGTTCTCTGAGAATGTTCTGGAATAACTTTTAAGCCAAGACTCCCAGCTAGGAGTTTTGAGGTTAAGTTAGGAGCTCTCTGAGAGGACTTTTAGAATCTGGGCATACGGCCCCAGATTATTGGCTTTCACCAGGCGCTGCATCGGCATCACGATAAGAAAACAGAACATTCAAAACTCACACTGTTGATATTCTGGCGATTGTTTTGCAGGGATTCTGTCCATCCATCCATCCATTTTCTTCCCCTTAATCCATTTCTGGATTAGGGGTGGCAAGTCAGAGTTGCACCCAGTACACATAGTACTAGCCTCTCACTGATCCTCCTGCAGGTGGTGAGTCCACAGGAGCCGTGTGGAGTCGTTCTCATTATTGTCAGTGTGAAGAAAGTACGAATTGTTACTTGAAGGAGAGTTCTTGTACACGTGTTGTGTACAAACAACAGCAATGTGCCTCCTGTCGTTTTAACTCTTCCTTTCAGTGTATGTGGTTTGCCATGTTGACACCTTGCTGTTTTGACACCGGTTTCTAGATTTTTGCATAATTCCTTTTCTAAAAGATTCATGTTCCGTTTTTTTATTTTTTTTATATAAAAATGGTCCTCCATGGTTCTTTTACATAACTGTAGTCCTCCATGGTTCCTACTTCAAACTTGTGAGGGCACAGTGAAAGCAACGTTATTAGTAGAACCTGTGAAACAAAAACGCGATTCTCGCATCCTTTTTGTCCCTTATCATCCAATGTATTTCAAGATGGCCCATTGACATGGAGAGTACTCCGCTCTCATGGAGATTTATAATTAAATTTCTAAGTCTATGACAACCATTAAAAAAACATGGTGAAAGTAAATTTTCTTAAAAAGGTAACATTTGTAATTGGTTAACATGTTTGTTCATTTAGAGCAACTGTAAAAATTACAGAGTGGTTTAAAAAAAAAAAAAGCAAGCAGCAACTTGGACAAAAGCATTTCGGTTTGCAAGGTGTGTGACACAAACGGGATATACTCTGGAAATCAGGGAGGAAAATTTCCCGCGGATGGTGAGCTTTTTATTGCTATTTTATAGATTGCCATGGCTGCACAGCTGAACTTGAAGAAAAAACAAATTTTTTTCCAGGACTCCCTTGAAAAAGAGGTTCTTAATCTCAATGGTACTTCCTGGTTAAATAAAGGTTAAATAAAAAATCCCTAACAATCCCCATCAACGACAAAACTCAAATCCGCAAAAGCAACTGCGGCTGCTTTGTAATGACAGCGGTTTCCACCACCAGCAGCTGGGAGCCTGTAGCTGTAACGTGGTCCCAGTGCACACCATAGACAGGACAAGTAAATAAATACGCCTCAAGAAACAGAGCTAGATAATAAGGCCTCAGAAGGTGTCTCGCCCGTGTCTTCTCCTGAAGCACAAAAAAAAAAAACTTGCTAAATTAATGCTGGGGTACCTACATTTCCCTTGAATTAATAATGCCTGTTGGTTGTGCCCAAAAGTAAAATGTTGAAAACAAATCAAACCACAGCAATCGATCTTGTTTTTTGCAGTTAAGAGCCCTGTGAGTAATTTATAGATTTTTTTTCCACACTGCTAAACGGGCCACTTGCTGCACTTTTTAAGTCTTCATTGTTGGAGACTATGCTGAAGTTGGAGAGCTTAGATTTGCTTCCTTATTATGCTAAAAGCTAGAGATTCTTTACTTGTATCTTTTAAATGCTAAAGTTAGAGACTTTTATTTTATTGTAGTATAAAGTTATTGTTCATTTATCTTGTGCTGTATGCCCCTCATTCCCACTGTTCTGTAACTTGTGATGCAACACTGAAATTTCCCCTGGATACCATGGATATCTTAATGGAGGAGGGTGTACCTTGAGGGGGGAGGGGGTTTGATGGATCCTTCAAAAAGCCAGATTCCAACCACAGCAAACATATAATACACCACCTGCAGTAAAGAGACGTCAAGACAGGACTGTACTTACTTACTTACTTATACAGAACCAGGACTCAGGGCCTAAAACTCACCACGAGGATCCCTGCAAATGCTCTGAGGTTCTTCACCAAGTCCATGAGAGTGCTGGCAACAAGAGCCATGAGCTGCAAATCAAATCAATACATATAAACATGTTGTACCTTTAAGGTTAGCGTTTGGGGTTACCAGTCTCATATATCCCAGAGGGGAACAGTGTATGGAGCTATTATTGTTTCAATAATATTTGTGAGTGCGTGAAAAGATTTGTGCGTGCGTAACCAGATTTTTGTGTGCGTAACCAGATTTGTGCATACGTAAAAAGATTTGTGCGTGCGTAAACCGATATGTGTGTGTGTAAAAAACATTTGTGCGCGTGTAAATAGATTTGTATGTACGTATCAAGATTTGTGTGTGCGTAAAAAGATTTGTGTGTGCGTAACAAGATTTGTGTGTGCGTAACTACAGTGCCTTGCGAAAGTATTCGGCCCCCTTGAACCTTTCAACATTCCGTCACATTTCAGGCTTCAAACATAAAGATATAAAATTTTAATTTTTTGTCATGAATCAACAACAAGTGGGACACAATCGTGAAGTGGAACGAAATGTATTGGATAATTTAAACTTTTTTAACAATTCAAAAACTGAAAAGTGGGGCGTGCAATATTATTCGGCCCCTTTACTTTCAGTGCAGCAAACTCACTCCAGAAGTTCAGTGAGGATCTTTGAATGATCCAATGTTGTCCTAAATGACTGATGATGATAAATAGAATGCACCTGTGTGTAATCAAGTCTCCGTATAAATGCACCTGCTCTTTGATAGTCTCAGGGTTCTCTTTAAAGCGCAGAGAACCATGAAGACAAAGGAACACTCCAGGCAGGTACGAGATACTGTTATGGAGAAGTTTAAAGCCGGATTTGGATACAAAAAGATTTCCCAAGCTTTAAACATTTCAAGGAGCACTGTGCAAGCAATTATATTGAAATGGAAGGAGTATCAGACCACTGCAAATCTACCAAGACCCGGCCGTCCCTCCAAACTTTCATCTCAAACAAGGAGAAGACTGATCAGAGATGCTGCCAAGAGGTCCATGATCACTCTGGATGAACTGCAGATAACTACAGCTGAGGTGGGAGAGTCTGTCCATAGGACAACAATCAGTCGTGCACTGCACAAATCTGGCCTTTATGGAAGAGTGGCAAGAAGAAAGCCATTTCTCAAAGATATCCATAAAAAGTCTCGTTTAAAGTTTGCCACAAGCCACCTGGGAGACACACCAAACATGTGGAAGAAGGTGCTCTGGTCAGATGAAACCAAAATCAAACTTTTTGGCCACAATGCAAAACGATATGTTTGGCGTAAAAGCAACACAGCTCATCACCCTGAACACACCATCCCCACTGTCAAACATGGTGGTGGTAGCATCATGGTTTGGGCCTGCTTTTCTTCAGCAGGGACAGGGAAGATGGCTAAAATTGATGGGAAGATGGATGGAGCCAAATACAGGACCATTCTGGAAGAAAACCTGTTGTAGTCTGCAAAAGACCTGAGACTGGGACGGAGATTTATCTTCCAACAGGACAATGATCCAAAAAATAAAGCCAAATCTACAATGGAATGGTTCACAAATAGACGTATCCAGGTGTTAGAATGGCCAAGTCAAAGTCCAGACCTGAATCCAATCGAGAATCTGTGGAAAGAGCTGAAGACTGCTGTTCACAAACGCTCTCCATCCAACCTCACTGAGCTCGAGCTGTTTTGCAAGGAAGAATGGCAAGAATTCCAGTCTCTCGATGTGCAAAACTGAGAGACATACCCCAAGCGACTTGCAGCTGTAATTGCAGCAAAAGGTGGCGCTACAAAGTATTAGCGCACGGGGGCCAAATAATATTGCACAGCCCACTTTTCAGTTTTTTATTTGTAAAAAAAGTTGAAATTATCCAATAAATTTCGTTCCACTTCACAATTGTGTCCCACTTGTTGTTGATTCTTGACAAAAAATTAAATTGTTATATCTTTATGTTTGAAGCCTGAAATGTGGCTTGTTGAAAGGTTGAAATGTTGAAAGGTTCAAGGGGGGCGAATACTTTCGCAAGGCACTGTAGATCTGTGTGTGTAAAAAAAATAAAATGTACGTTTTATGCACACAAATCTTTTGACGCAGTCCTGCCTTCGCAGATTCGCAAGTGTAACTTGGACTGTGTGCGTGTGTACCCAGATTTGTGTGTGTGTAATTTGACATTTGTGTCTGTAACAGAACAATCTGTGTGTATGGACCACCTTGTACAAAGAGAAGAACGGAAAAAAGCCTAAGTGCTGCGCACAGGCTCTGTTTTACACACAAATCTCTTTACATACCTCTGCCGCCAAGCGTGTGTCAAAAAGATTCGTAGTGTAATGTGGTTGTTCAAGCAGTACACCAGCAGATGGTGCTGTTGTAGCTGCATTACACACAAGTAAACCAGCAGAGTTTGTGGCACTAAAGTGTAGATTTAAAAAAAAAACCCGAAGGATTTAAGAAGAAAAGTTCAGGATGACAAGGGACACTAAAATCCCCACAAAATCTGACCTTTATGAAAGCTTTAGGTTCTCTGTCAGCTGTTTTAATTTACATTGAGTTCTATGGGGAAAATTTCAGTGTTGTCTATGGAAGATTTTTTGTGTCATCAGATTTTGAATTTTTTTTAGCTTGAATTTTTCTATTTGAAATTTTTAACCCTGAATATTTTTATCTTTGCATTTCAATCTCTAAAAATTCAGTATACAAATTTCAATGTGATTAAAATTTCAAAATGACATATTCACCTTTTTTCAATGAAAAAAAAAAAGACTGATTATTTGTTCCATCAGAAATTGAATTTTAAATGGACCTGAATTCATCTCTTTGAATGTTTTTAACATCTTGAATATTTTTTTTTTGTGAATTTCAGTCACTGATTATCAATTTCATAATGTTAAATTCAACAATGAAAAATTCACATGACACATCCGGTGTTCTGACGAGTTGTATGCTCTGTCAGATGGTCTGCGCATGCGTCATTTTACTGAGGTAAAGACAGGCGCTAGCTTTCAGCAGGTCTATCGGTTGATAACATGAATCTAACAGGTTGATATGGGATTTCTAATGAATGGATTGTAATGACACCAAGGCGAGTAATAAGATGATACTACATTAATTTGATGAGTTAGTCTTTTTGGGTAAATGTGCTAGCTTCAAATCATTATTGCTGTATATTCCTGTTTATTTATTTAAGCAGTGTGTGTTTGTTTGTGTTCATGAAAACCATCACATTTGAACATTTATAGCAACAAAGGACAGTGTTATTGTTGGTAAATTTACACAGTATTTGGGTCTAGTTTCCCTAGCAGTTTTTCAAGTAACTCGTGTTACTTGAAAAAAAGGAATTAACAAAAAACATGTATTCCACAGCTTGAACTCTTGTACACTAAATGATATTTGCTGAGTTGTCTCTGAAATAAAGTAACAACGGTAAGAACACCGTATGGCTCCTTATTTCTTAAGCTCCACTCGCTCCGTAAACAAAGCAAAACCTCTCTCTCTCTCTCTCTTTCTTAAAGTGACGGTATCGTAAATATTCTAAGTTAACAAAATCTCCATTAGTTCTAAAGGGTCTAATGTAGATAACGAGAGATTCCAACGTCAGTGAAGAGAAAACAGAGTTCATTATGCGCAGACCAACTGACAGAGCACACAACTCGTCAGAACACCGGATGTGTCATGTGCATTTTTCACCATTAAATTTTTTCTCGTTGAATCTTGACTGTTGAATTTAACATTATGAAATTGAAAATCAGTGACTGAAATTCACAGAAAAAAATATTCAAGATGTTAAAAATATTCAAATAGATGAATTTAGGTCCATTTACAATTCAATTTCTGATGGAACAAATAATCCGTCTTTTTGTTTTCATTGAAAAAAAAAATTGAATATTTTGAAGGTGAATAGGTCATTTTGAAATTTTAATCACATTGAAATTTGTAAACTGATTTTTTTGTGACTGAAATGTAAAGATAAAACTATTCAAACATGCTTTTTCAGGGTTAAAAATTTCAAACGGAAAAATTCAAGCTAAAAAAAATTCAAAATCTGATGACACAAAAAATCTTCCATAGTAGTCCACTGAATCCAGTCTTGTTTAGTCTGCAGTACCGCGAGAATCCCCAGAGCACGTGGGTCCTTCAGCTTCAAGCTGGTAATACCCTATCCAGATATCATAAAAAAACATAATAAACAGCTGCGGTAGTGTATCTCGTCAAGGCAGTAGGTTTTGGTTTGCAGCTACAACAGCACCATCTGCTGGTGTACTGCTAGAACAACCACATTACACTTATGAATATTTTTTACACATGCTTGGCGGCAGAGGTGTGTCAAAAAGAGTCTGTGCGTAGCACGCTTTTTTCCCCATCTTGTCTTTGTACAAGGTAGTCCATACACACAGATTGTTCTGTTACAGACACAAATGTCAAATTACACACACACAAATCTGGGTACATCCGCACACAGTCCAAGTTACACTTGCGAATCTGCGAAGACAGGACTGCGTCAAAAGATTAGTGTGTAAAAAAAACTTCTGTGTAAAACGTAATTTTTTCTTTTTTTTTACACACACACAGATCTATTTACACACGCACAAATATTTTTTTTACACACACACAAATCTGGTTCCGCACGCACAAATATTATTGAAACAATAATAGCTCCATAACAGTGTACCTTTAGGGTTTGGGTTACCAGATTTGTATATCCCAAGAGTGGTGTATTCCTTTTGGGTTAGGGTGACCAGTCTCGTATACCCCAGAGTGGAGAAGTTTACCTTTTGGATAGGGTTAGGAATACCAGTCTCATATATCCCAGAGGGGAGCAGTGTACCTTTAGGGTTTGGGTTACCAGATTTATATCCCAAGAGTGGTGTATACCTTTTGTGTTAGAGTGACCGGTCTTGTATACCCCAGAGTGGAGAAGTTTACCTTTTGGATAGGGTTAGGAATACCAGTCTCATATATCCCAGAGGGGAGCAGTGTACCTTTATATTCGGGATGATCCTTAAGAAGCGGAAGACAATCAGCATGTTGATCATCCGAGTTATTTCCCAAAGAGAAACTATATTGTCGCTGTCCGGATCCCTGTGGGAGGGTTAGGGTTAATAAATGAGAGAAATAAAATACATTTCCACACATTTGTACTCAGAGCAGAGGGTTATGTTTGGCAGCTTGTTCTTTACTTTTAAACCATTGATTAGTACCGTTTTTACTGTGGTCTGTGAGAATTCCATTGCTAACTGCCGCACATTATTTTCGTATATACAGTGCCTTGCGAAAGTATTCGGCACCCTTGAACCTTTCAACATTTTGCCACATTTCAGGCTTCAAACATAAAGATATGAAAATTAAATTTTTTTGTCAAGAATCAACAACAAGTGGGACACAATTGTGAAGTGGAACAAAATGTATTGGATAATTTAAACTTTTTTAACAAATAAAAAACTGAAAAGTGGGGCGTGCAATATTATTCGGCCCCCTTGCGCTAATACTTTGTAGCGCCACCTTTTGCTGCAATTACAGCTGCAAGTCGCTTGGGGTATGTCTCTATCAGTTTTGCACATCGAGAGACTGGAATTCTTTCCCATTCTTCCTTGCAAAACAGCTCGAGCTCAGTGAGGTTGGATGGAGAGCGTTTGTGAACAGCAGTCTTCAGCTCTTTCCACAGATTCTCGATTGGATTCAGGTCTGGACTTTGACTTGGCCATTCTAACACCTGGATACGACTATTTGTGAACCATTCCATTGTAGATTTGGCTTTATGTTTTGGATCATTGTCCTGTTGGAAGATAAATCTCCGTCCCAGTCTCAGGTCTTTTGCAAACTCCAACAGGTTTTCTTCCAGAATGGTCCTGTATTTGGCTCCATCCATCTTCCCATCAATTTTAGCCATCTTCCCTGTCCCTGCTGAAGAAAAGCAGGCCCAAACCATGATGCTGCCACCACCATGTTTGACAGTGGGGATGGTGTGTTCATGGTGATGAGCTGTGTTGCTTTTACGCCAAACATATAATTTTGCATTGTGGCCAAAAAGTTTGATTTTGGTTTCATCTGACCAAAGCACCTTCTTCCACATGTTTGGTGTGTCTCCCAGGTGGCTTGTGGCAAACTTTAAACAAGACTTTTTATGGATATCTTTGAGAAATGGCTTTCTTCTTGCCACTCTTCCATAAAGGCCAGATTTGTGCAGTGCACGACTGATTGTTGTCCTATGGACAGACTCTCCCACCTCAGCTGTAGTTATCTGCAGTTCATCCAGAGTAATCATGGGCCTCTTGGCTGCATCTCTGATCAGTCTTCTGCTTGTTTGAGATGAAAGTTTGGAGGGACGGCCGGGTCTTGGTAGATTTGCAGTGGTCTGATACTCCTTCCATTAATATAATTGCTTGCACAGTGCTCCTTGAGATGTTTAAAGCTTGGGAAATCTTTTTGTATCCAAATCCGGCTTTAAACTTCTCCACTACAGTATCTCGGACCTGCCTGGTGTGTTCCTTTGTCTTCATGGTTCTCTCTGAGCTTTAAACAGAACCCTGAGATTATAAGGGCAAGTCCCTTTAATACGGAGACTTGATTACACACAGGTGCATTCTATTTATCATCATCAGTCATTTAGGACAACATTGGATCATTCAAAGATCCTCACTGAACTTCTGGAGTGAGTTTGCTGCACTGAAAGTAAAGGGGCCGTATAATATTGCACGCCCCACTTTTCAGTTTTTTATTTGTTAAAAAAGTTTAAATTATCCAATAAATTTTGTTCCACTTCACGATTGTGTCCAACTTGTTGTTGATTCATGACAATTTTTTTTAAATATATCTTTATGTTTGAAGCCTGAAATGTGGCGAAATGTTGAAAAGTTCAAGGGGATTGAATACTTTCGCGAGGCACTGTAGACACACACACGTAGTCTGGTAAGTTTAAAATTATTCTCTATATCACTCCGCCAAAGTTAGGGTTAGGATGACTGTAACTGTAACAGACAGATCAAATAAACTATCAATTAGGTGACAAGCCTAACAACTAATAGCGTCGGATAACATGGATTTTGAGGTGAATTTCAACATTTTTGGACATTTGGACCTTTGAGGAATGGGAGGAAGAGGAGAACCAAGACGAACAACAAAAGCAACGACACAAGGAGTAAACATCTGTAAATGTTAAAGTTTTGTCTGCATGTTAATAAAAGAAGTTCCCATTCCTCTTAAGAAACGGATGCTAAGGCAAAAGTTTTGATTTCAGACTTGTTAAATAATCCCTATACTTAAGCATATTTGGCCAGTTCAGTAATGTCAATAAAAAATTCGTACACACTTAAATTCACGGGATTACGGTATAAGTGGATTAAACAACGAGGAGCCATGCATTATACAGTTATAATGCACAATGCGGAGTCTCCACAAAGGTTACTTAAACCTCAAGTTAAATAACTCCACCAGAGGGGTCACCATAGCAACACACAGCATTGACATAGACTGTATACAGGTGTCAATGCTAACCAGCAAGCTCAATGAAGCCCAATAGCGAAGTGCTCATGGTGAAGTCTGGCTCCAACTCTCGGACTCAGTTTCATGTTAACCATTTTTGGCTTAAATCTGTGGTTTAGCACTCTCTGTGATCCTGGTGTTTATATTGTGATTTATGATATTGTTATTGTCATTGTAAATCCATATATGAGCCATATATGGATTGAATAATTTTAAAAATGTTGATCTATTTAAAGCTTTTCAATCTATGTTTTTAACATTCTCCTGTGAAGCACATGTTTGTAGCACACATTTCAGTTTTGAGGTCAATATGGAACTTACCAGTGAGAAAATGGAGATTTATAGAAGACGTACATCGTGATGAGCAGAGCCTGCAGTAAAACAGCAAAAACCAAAAGTACCATCACATTATTACCTAACTATCTTGTGGGTTTGTGTGCTCCTCTTCCTACTGTTTTGTTTCCTGCTAAAATCATATAACCCTAACCCCTTTAACCCTATAACCCTGTAACCCCTGTCCTGTTCATCCTCTTGTAACAAAGAATAAACCTGTTTTACTTCAGCAAAGGCTCTGGATCATAACTACAGGGATTAGGGGAATTGGAACTTATTAGTTTTATTATAGTTGTTACGCTAGTGCTGATGTTTGCATACGTATCAGATCGCAAAAAAAAACTAGATGGCTCCGTGGGATGAGAGCGTAGGAGAAATGAGAAGCAAAAACCTTGCAGAAACAGGTATAGCTCTTTTAAGTGTTTCTGTCTTGTAGTTTTTCTAGCTATTTCTAACATTTTCAGTATTACCGTAGAGCAGTGGTCGTAGAGCAGTGAACTGATGAAATGGTACAAAAGCAATGCACTGCTAACAAAATATGAAAGATTACTGCTAGTTTCGCGTCCAAATGTAGTACGAGCATAGATAGTCCGAGGCTTTGATTTTTTCACTTTAGTTCCCTCTTCTCTTCCTCACTGTTGCGTCGTTTGGGCTCTTTTGTTGTGTATGCAGTTACAGCCAGAGGAGCTATAGTTGTGTGAGTGGAGGAGAACTAGCGTCACGCTAAGATTCTACTCAGCACTTTTAATGGCCTGAATTCATACACAAGCTGATTTAATGAACTCAAGTTTATAATTAAGTTAAGGATTTGAATAAAACTTGTATGTAGTAATACGCATTATATTAAACTCATTCGAAAATAAATCGGGTATAGCTTCTATAATTTCTTTTCAAAAAAATAGTGTGCATTTAGTTGCCATATTCATGCAGTTGCCATAGCGATACAGTTGCAGTTACCAGCAGAAGAACAGTGAGAAACCCGTCGAAAAGGTTGTTCCTGTAGGACACGTAGCCTCTCCATCCCAATGCAAACAGTTTGGCAAACATTTCAAACAGATAATACAAGATGAAGACCAGGTTGATCAGCTGAAAAGGAAGAAAACATAATGTTTGTCTTATAGGAGTTGACTTAAAGCAAACCTGGAGGTGTTTTTGGCTTCTTCCAGACTAATATCAATCTGTAAACATGTAGCTCCGTCGCTTCTGTCTAAAAGCTCCTGTCTAAAAGCTCCTGTCTCATGCCGCATCATGTGATTCTCAGACGAGGTGTGTGTGAGTATACGATAAAGTCTTTAAACTCCTACATTTATTAATCGTTTGTGACAAATACATTGTATGACATAAGTTTCATTCAGAAAATCACTTTAAACTGATCCGCACTAATGTGTCGACCTCTGACCTCCATGTAGAAGTTGTCTCTCTCAGCCGTGGATTTTTCAGAGTTTAGGATCAAAATCGTCTGGAACAAATAAAAACAGTAAAATGTATAACTAAACTTCTGAAAGTTATTGATCAGACATCGAACATTACACAGATGCAGATGACGTTGGCCAGAGCCACCACGTTCCCAATGATGGTGAGACTGAAGTGACTGAAGGCTCTTTGCAGCTTCTGAGACACACGGGAGCGGTATTCCGGCAGAGGGGGGTGCTGAAAAACAATCGCACAAGAGCACATTAAAGCTGTGGTTCCCAACTGTCTCTTAAACAAACAAATACCCAAACACCTGCTTACACACACACGCTCCAGAAACCACATCACCCTCATCCTCAAACACCTCCACGGAGTTCCCTGTCCCATACTCTATACAATATAAGGTCCTCCTCATTGCCTACAAGACCCTTCATAACCTGACAATTTCACTTTTCTGTCTGAAACAGCTGATATAAAGATGTGACAGGGGACAATAATACAGGATGTATTTCATATCCAAAAAACATGACAATTGGGAAAATCGTATAACCATCTTAGGTTAATATCTAAACTCAACTCATAATATCCTGTATATAATAAATAGAACCTCTTTGATCCGGTCTTTGTCTAGCTCATCAAAGATCCGCCTGAACTGATCTCGGTCTAGAGTTTCATGACGCTGAGCGGCCTGCAAAACAAAAGACAAAAGATAATTTCCTGCATTTTAACTATTTAATCTACTGCAGATATGACTCATGGTACAATCAGTATATGATACAATTGCTGCTGCTACTACTGTTTCTGCTTACATTACAACAGTTGCATGGAATTAAAAAAAGACAGTTATATTTAGTTTAAATTCATGTTTTACCGTTTACCTTTATGATGTTGTGTCTGTAGTATTCTTTATGTTTGACCTTGGACATGACTTTGAGCACAGGGGCCACAGGAACACAGGGACCAAGACTGTGAACACAGGGACAAAAGATAACACAGGGACAGTGGCTGTGAGCACAGGGTAAGGGGCTTATAGGTTACCACTCATAAGAAACAAGAGAACACATTGTGTGGAAGCAACATCTGACCGTTGTGGGTCTTCAGTCAGAGCTGTATCAAACTGTTCTTGAGAAGAGGGAGCAGCATCTGCACAGATAACCTCAATCCTGGATTTACAGCCTCAGTCCTGGATTTACAGCCTCAGTCCTGGATTTACAGCCTCAGTCCTGGATCTACAGCCTCAGTCCTGGATCTACAGCCTCAGTCCTGGATCTACAGCCTCAGTCCTGGATATACAGCCTTTCCATCCGTGGGAGTGGGTAACTCACTTTTCCCCACTGTTTTTTTAGTGGTTCCTTGGTGATGCAGGTGGGTCTAAGGTTAGTGATGATCCAAAACATTTAAATTAGGGCTGTCAAACGATTAAAATGTTTAATTGAGTTAATTACAGCTTAAAAATTAATCGCATTTCAAACTATCGACAAAATTATGCCATATTTTTCTGTAAATGGTTGTTTGAATGGAAAGAGGAATGACAGCATTGTGTAAATATGTACTGTATTTGTTTATTATACAATAAAATCCATATAAAATGGCATTCTGTCCTTCTGTGACTCAGACCAAAACTACTGTTTGTTACAGATGAGGGACATTTCAAAACAGTATGAAATGCAGAAAGTCATTAAATCTGTCATGAACTGCTAGTGGAAGGGAAAATTAGGTACCCCAGCTTTAATTTAGCTGTGCGCTTAGAGAGAAGACATGGAGGAGACTGAGGCTCCGTTGTCCAGCTTCTGCGCTGTATTTTTTGTGTGCACCGGTTACGCAAAGACACGCACACTACAAGCAGAGATAGTTTTGTGCATGTATGGTCTTGGATATGATCACGTTATGCGGTGCCGTTTCGCCGTGATCACAGCCGCTGAACTGCTGTGCAGAGCGCCCGCAGCTCAGCTTGCAGAGTTCATACTGGAAACGCGTGTATTCTTTTAAAACTTGAATTCCCAGAGACCTGCTCTGTCACCATCTCACACACACGTGTCCGTGGCATTGAGGGTTATTATGGGATGCATGGGCATGCATTAATTGCGTTATTTTTAACGCAATTAATATTTTTTTTTAATTAACGTGCGTTAACGCGATAATTTTGACAGCCCTAATTTAAATGTAACCCTGACCCTAAACTCTGGGTTAAGGTATCTGTATTTGTATTCAGTGGATGTAATAACTATAGTAACAGACATTATGACCGACTCTGGTCTTACTCTGCAGAGCTCGCCTCTTGTCCACAGCTCAAAACCTCAAACGCAGCTCTGATCCCAAGTCTCCTCCTGATGATCGACGTCTGCACCGACATCTGAACAGAACACGTCCATCTTAGGGGTCAAATTCATTCAAACCCTAAACATATAGGGTTAGGGTTTGAATGAGGCAAAAGTGTGAGGAGGTGAGTTCTGCTTAATCCCACATGTTGCTGCGGGGGAAGATGGAGGATGCTGGATTGGACAGTCATCTCACTGCATGGACCATCAACGACCGCTTGCGAGTATGCTAGCAGAGTATGTGGGGCGTTCACGGGTAGTCCGTACAAAAAATATTGTTTAAACATTACAGAAAGTACGGGCCAGAGAACTGTAGAGGAGTAAAAACACTATGTAAGTGTTTGTCCTCATGATACCTGTGACTACTGTGGTCAGACGCCAGTCTCTATGGGCTGCGTGAAGTGGAGAGACCCGCGCACGTGCGGCCGTTATGTCAGAGAAAATTAGACATTGCTTATCCCGTGCGAATGCGCTGTCAGATCTCAGACGTTCTCCGGGATTATCACAAATTACCATGGGTCCCCATGTAAAACTAATGCCGTTCAAATAGGGCTTTAGTCGACAGGTGAGAGCGCAACCACTTGTGCTTTAACACCAGTAAGACTAAGGACTATCCGTCCTGTTTTGTGTTTTACAATTGTTGTTTTTCTTGCTTTTTTCTACCCGAGATGTCACTGCAGTAAAGTTTTCATGGTTTTCGACTGCTCCAGACCATAGCAGAGAAAATGGTCTGAACCAAGTGGCTACTCGACCTCTGCCTTTAGTGACCTGTCCTGCTCCACCCAGCGGCTACTCGACCTCTGCTGCTGTGACCTGTCCTACTCCACCCAGCGGCTACTCCACCTCTGCTGCTGTGACCCGTCCTGCCCCATCTAGTGGCTTCTCCACCTCTGCTGCTGTGATCCGTCCTGACACACTCACACAGACACACATGTACACACACAGAGGCAGACATACACGCACACAGACAGACGCATGTACGTACACGCACAGACGTACCACATAGACAGACACATGTACATACACGTACGCGCACAGACAGAAACATGCATACACATACGCGCACAGAAACGTACCACACAGACAGGCAGATGTACATACACGTACGCGCACAGAGACGTACCACACAGAGACAGAAACCTGCACATACACGTATGCGCACAGAGACGTACCACACAGAGACAGACGAGTACAGCCGCGGATCACAAAGTAAACTGTCTCAAAGCGATGCTCTGAACTTCATCATGGATCTATAATAATAACATGCACCACGTCTCTGAAGCCTAAGTGAACGCCACACGCTGCAGCCGCTTCAGGAGCGAACGTCACCACACACAGCACCAACACACACATGAAAAACTCTGAATGACTCACACACGCTTAAGCGCTTCCTCACGTTCAGCACAAACTTGCACCAGGGTGTTTCATGTTGTTTTCTTTCATTGTGGCGCAGCTTTGCCCGACAGCTGCTTTACCAACAGCTATCGTAATGCATCATGGGATCACCCTCGCTCAAGGGTGGTTTTTAGGGGTGTGAAGGCCCTCGCCTCTTCTCCCTAAGTATTGGGACACCCTACAACCCCCGCAGGCACGCGCATAATCTAGGGAAGTGTGCTTTTTAAGGGCAAGGGTGATAATTGGGACGGGGCCTAAGGCACCCTCATTGCAAAAAGGAGCGCTACCGCAGGGCCTACATCCTAGAGTTTCGCTTTTCAGCCCGAGCCCGAGCAGGCCCGAGGCCCGACCTGAGTTCGGGCTGGGCTCGGGCCTCATTTGGCGCTCAACTGTCGGGTTCGTGCCGGGCTCGGGCTTCTTTTATTAAATATATGTTTCTTTTTTATTATTATTATAATTATTTTTAAATGATTTTTATACATAATGATATGCATATATATACTAATATATATTAATAACAATGTCCGTTGATTGACAACAAGTTATAAAAAAAAGTTAATATATTAATGACACCGTAACCAGCGTGTCCTACAGCAGCAGCGAGCCGTGAACGCATCATCCCCGTGTCTCCTGGTGCATGCTGTGGTCAACAGCGAACAGGAACAATCGTAGAAATGGATCAAGTGGAGACAAAACAAATTCAAAAGTGGAGACTAAACTTGCAATTGGAAGGTGAGTGCGTACAACGGGAAATCAGATGTGTCGGGTTCTGTCGGGCTCTGTCGGGCTCGGGCCTGTTATACAGCGTTCATTGGTCGGGCTTATACGGGCTCGGGCTTAACATTAGCGGGCTCGGGCCGGGTCGGGCTTCATTTTTCAGGCCCGAACGAAACTCTACTACATCCCCACCTCTGTCAGACTATACAATAAGTCACTTAATGACCGACCTGCACAAGGACTGAAAAACTCTCACTGCTACAGTCACTTTTAATTATTTTTATTGTACATAATATATCTTGTACAAAATAATTTAACCTTTTAACATGTTTGCACAGTGTCTTTTTCCACACCCTGAGTGATCCTGTCTATGCCAAATGTGACGTGTACATTTTATCTTATTTTTGCAGTGTTTTTGACAACATTAAGATTTAGATGGAGATGGAAGATTACTTAAATGGACTGCTTTAGAAATCTCTCCTGTTGTCCTGAAGCTACAGCCCTTTGTCTTGAATGTGTGTCTCACCAGTAAATATCCTCTGAACTGGTTGTAGATGATGGCAGTCAACAAGTTCATCAGGCAGTAGGTCCCTGGACAAGAGACAGAAAAACACATTTCTGTGCACATGTTTTAGTGGTAGGGGATGCCAGAGCACCTGGGAGAAACCTATTCACACACGGGAAAAACATGCAAACTCCACTCAGAAAGTTCTGGAGGTGGAATCAAACCCAAACTGCTGTGAAGCAAAAGCGCTAATGATTGAAATGCAGATCATAAAGAGGTTTCCTTTTGTCCAGTTTGAAGCCATTGAAATAAAAAAATAAAAAATAATAAATAAAAATAAAAAAAATATAAACTGACCGATAATGCTGAACATCATGAAGAAGACTGAGTATCCTCGATTCAGAGAGTAGGCTGGAATCATGACTGAAACAAAACACACGGGGTTACTGCTAATTGACACAGGTGTTACAGCACGTACGCGTTGTACACGCAGCAGACGCGCGTAGCATTTTTACATGTAAACCAATGGGGATATTTACACCAGGCCTCTGGCCCGTAATGTCCTCTACACTTTTCCATAGACTACACAGGGAGAGCATCAGAAGCTGCGGACCTGCGCGCAAGCCCAGTGGACATACAGCCAAATAATGTTACGCGCACATCAACGTGTACGAGCTGTTAACGCCTACTGTGTAAATTCCCTGATAGAGTTCAGGAAGTTAGGGTTAGAGTTAAGAGAGTTGGGGTTAGGGTTCAGAAAGTTAGGGTTAGGGTTCAGAAAGTTAGGATTAAGGTTCAGAAAGTTAGAGTTAGCCATAACCCCATATTGTCCCCCTCCTGCTTTACCATCGGGGTTGTTGGCTGTGGTCAGAAGAACCAGCAGCGACGTCAAAGAGTTGGACATTCCTCTGAAGTGAGACTCCCATTCGCTGTTTTTTGAAGGATCCTTTAAAAATACACAAATAATTCCAATTATTATTAATATATCAACTGAAACACGGGCTTAGGTTACTTTACTTTCAAATCACATACAATTTAACAATGTAATAAAATCTGATGCTAAGCTAGTAGCTGAGTGAACTATTGAGTGTGAATAAAACAGAAAAATCAAATGCAATTTTAGAAAAAATATATATTCATTGTATTCCCAGGTTTTATAAATATAGGTGAGGTATGTGATGATAATATTATATTATTTACATGTATTGATATAAATAGAGTAGATATAATGCAATATATTATATGCATTATAAAAAATACAAAATAGGAAAAAAGTGTCTTTTGGTGGTTCGGTTCAACTCAGTTCAGTTATGGTGATCTCATAACCGTTTCATGTTCCTTTTCGAGTCTATAACGAGTTCCTTTTGGAATTCAGAAAGGTTTGACAGTTCTACCGCTCATCGGTAGAACAACAGCTTGCCATCAGAAGATGATTGCAGTTGGTCGATTAACACTAACAAAAGCCTGACCTGGAAAGGTCAAAACCAAACAAAACCAAAATAAACATTTGTATGAATAAAAAACTAAAATAAATTAAGATATATGTCGAATGTACATTTACATGAAGAATGTATACAGAAGACATACATATTTTCATGTGTAATTGCTACAAAAATAATCAATCAAATCATAATCTGATGATCGATATTATACAGGTTCTTTGATTTAGAAACCTACATTCAAACCATGTGCACTCTAAATTCAAATTCAATTCACTGAATATCGGTCCGTCCGTCCGTTTTCTTCCGCTTCATCCGTTGCCAGGTCGCGGGGGCAGCAGTCTAAGCAGAGACTCCCGAACTTCCCTATCCACACACACTTCCTCCAGCTTGTCCGGGGGGACCCCAAGGCGTTCCCAGGCCAGCTGAGAGACATAGTCCCTCCAGCGTGTCCTGGGTCTTCCCCGGGGCCTCCTCCCGGTGGGACGTGCCCGGAACACCTCCCCAGGGAGGCGTCCAGGAGGCATCCGGAACAGATGCCCGAGTCACCTCAACTGGTTCCTCTCGACGTGGAGTAGCAACGGCTCTACTCCGAGCTCCTCCCGTGTGACTGAGCTCCTCACCCTATCTCTAAGGGAGCGCCCAGCCACTCTGCGGAGGAAGCTCATTTCGACCGCTTGTATCCGCGATCTCGTTCTTGCGGTCATCACCCAAAGTTTGTGACCATAGGTGAGGGAGGGAACAAAGATTGACCGGTAAATTGAGAGCTTTGCCTTTTGGCTCAGCTCCCTCTTTACCACAACGGTCCGATACAGCGACCGCATCACTGCGCACGCTGCACCGATCCGCCTGTCAATCTCACGCTCCATCCTTCCCTCACTCGTGAACAAGACCCCGAGATACTTGAACTCCTCCACTTGAGGAAGGACCTCTCCACCCACCTGAAGAGGGCAAGGCACCTTTTTCCGGTCGAGCACCATGGCCTCGGATTTGGAGGTGCTGATTCTCATCCCAGCCCCTTCACACTCGGCTGCAAACCACCCCAGTGCATGCTGCAGGTCCTGGTTCGTTGGAGCCAACAGGACAACATCGTCCGCAAAAAGCAGAGATGAAATCCTGTGGTCCCCGAAACCGGACCCCCTCCGGCCCCTGGCTGCGCCTAGAAATTCTGTCCATGAATACAGTGAACAGAACCGGTGACAAAAGGCAGCCCTGGCGGAGGCCAACATGCACCGGGAACAGGTCTGACTTACTGACTAAATAAATAAATACAGGGACCGAACAGCCCCCAGCAGAGGACCCCGGACCCCGTACTCCCGGAGAACCCCCCAAAGAACACCCGGGGGAACACGGTCGAACGCCTTCTCCAAGTCCACAAAGCACATGTGGACAGGTTGGGCGAACTCCCATGAACCCTCGAGTATCCGATGGAGAGTATAGAGCTGGTCCAGTGTTCCGCGGCCAGGACGAAAACCACACTGCTCCTCCTGAATCCGAGATTCGACCATTGGCCGTAGCCTCCTCTCCAGTACCTTGGAGTAAACCTTACCAGGGAGGCTGAGGAGTGTGATCCCACGATAATTGGAACACACCCTCCGGTCCCCCTTCTTATAGAGAGGGACCACCACCCCGGTCTGCCACTCCATCGGCACCGCCCCCAATCGCCACGCGATGTTGCAGAGACGTGTCAGCCAAGACAGTCCCACAACATCCAGAGACTTTAGATAGTCAGGACGGATCTCATCCACTCCCGGCGCCTTGCCACCAAGGAGGCTGCCAACCACCTTGGTGACCCCAACATCTTCAGCCTCTGCCTCCGGGACGGAGGACGTGACGGGGGGGTTGAGGAGAACCTCGAAGTATTCCTTCCACCGCCCGACAATATCCCAGTGAATGTCATCAGCTCTCCACCCGCACCGTACACGGTGTTGGCTTCCCCCTCCTGAGGCGCCGGACGGTTTGCCAGAATCTCTTTGAGGCCGACCAATAGTCCTGCTCCATGGAGTCTCCAAACTCCTCCCAGACCCGGGTTTTTGCCTCTGCAACAACCCGGGCCACGGCACGCTTGGCCTGCCGGTACTGGACAGCTGCCTCAGGAGTCCCCCGAACCATCATGGCTCGATAGGACTCCTTCAGCCTGACGGCATCCCTTACTGCCGGTGTCCGGGGGTTGCCGCCGGGACCAGCACCAGAGACCTTGCGACCACAGCTACGAGCTGCCGCATCGGCGATAGAGGAAGAGAACATGGTCCACTCAGACTCAATGTCCCCTTCCTCTGCCGGGACCTGGGAGAAGCTCTCCCGGAGGTGTGAGTTGAAAGTCCGTCTGACAGGGGGCTCAGCGAGACGTTCCCAGCAGACCCTCACTATACGCTTGGGCCTGCCAGGTCTGACCGGCTTCCTCCCCTGCCAGCGGATCCAACTCACAACCAGGTGGTGATCGGTTGACAGCTCCGCCCCTCCCTTCACCCGAGTGTCCGAGACGCGCGGTCGAAGGTCAGATGATACAACAACAGTCGATCATCGACCTCCGGCCTAGGGTGTCCTGGTGCCACGTGCACTGGTGGACACCCTTGTGCTCGAACATGGTGTTCGTGATGGATAAACTGTGACTAGCACAGAAGTCCAACAACTGAACACCGCTCGGGTTAATATCAGCGGGGCCGTTCTTCCCTATCACCCCTCTCCAAGTGTCACTGGCATTTCCTACATGGGCGTTGAAGTCCCCAAGGAGAATAACGGAGTCCCCGGGCGGTGCACCGTCCAGTACACCTCCCGAGGACTCCAAGAAGGCCGGGTACTCTACACTTCTGTTAGGCCCGTAGGCCTAACAGCAGAGACTTGTCCCCCACCCGAAGGCGGAGGGACGCGACCCTCTCATTCACCGGGGAGAACTCCAACACGTGCCGGCTGAGATGGGGGGCAATGAGTATGGCCACCCCAGCTTGCCGCCTCTCCCCGCGAGAGACACCAGAAAAGTGGAGCGTCCAACCCCTCTCAAGGAGTTGGGTTCCAGAGCCCAAGCTGTGTGTGGAGGTGAGGCCGACTATCTCTAGCCGGTATCGCTCGACGTTCCACGTCCCAAGAGCCAGATGTTGTGTGTGCGGACTGGATCGCCGAGGTCTCCGCCTTCGACTGCTGCCCAGTCCTCTCAGCACCGTTTCGCCACCACAGACCCCTCTGCAGGTGGTGGGCCCACAGGAGGGACTTCACTGAATATGCTCAAGTAATTAAAAGTTCCATATTACGATTTTCTTCATGTTTCACAGTCAATCCTATGCACATGTGTGATAATAATTTGAGTGATAAACCATCCGACACTTAAAACTTGTGAGATTATAGCCATCTCTTGGAAAGAGGTGACGTTACCTCGACACAAACAGGCTGATTCAGAGAGCAGTCTGCTCCTCTGTCTGTGAGCTGAACTTTATGTTCAAGATGGAACTTGTTCACACAGTACATTACCATCACCCCTCTGCTGTTGCTAACCAATCCGTGTATCATCTGTTCATTTGATTTTCTAAATAAAACCAACATTTAAAAAACTAATAACGAGGGATGTCAGTCTGAGGTCAAGAGTGTCCTGGAGCAGGTTTTCATTGCTGCATTCATCTTTTCCTCTATCTTGACTAGTCTCCCAGTTCCTGCCGCTGAAAAACATCTCCACAGCATGATGCTACCACCACCATGCTTCACTGTAGGGATGGTATTGGCTTGGTGATGAGCAGTGCCTGCTTTCCTCCAAACATGACGCCTGGCATTCACGTCGAAGAGTTCAATCTTTGTCTCATCAGAAAAGATAATTTTTCCTTCAGGTGCCTTTTGGCAAACTGCAGGCGGGCTGCCATATGCCTTTTACTAAGGAGCAGCTTCCGTCCGGCCACTCTACCATACAGGCCTGATTTGTAGATTGCTGCAGAGATGGTTGTCCTTCTGGAAGGTTCTCCTCTCTCGAGGAATGCTGGAGCTCTGACAAAGTGACAAAGGCCCTTCTCCCCCGATTGCTCAGTTTAGATGGCCGGCCAGCTCTAGGAAGAGTCCTGGTGGTTCCAAACTTCTTCCAATTACGGATGATGGAGGCCATTGTGCTCATTGGGACCTTCAAAGCAGCAGAATTTTTTCTGTACCTTTCCCCAGACTTGTCCCTCGAGACAATCCTTTTTTGGAGGTCTACAGACAATTCCTTTGACTTCATGCTTGGTTTGTGCTGACATGCACTGTCAACTGTGGGACCTTATATATACAAGTGTGTGCCTTTCCAAATCAACTGAATTTACCAAAGGTGGACTTCAATTAAGCACTAGAAGCATCTCAAGGATGATCAGTGGAAACAGGATGCACCTGAGCTCAATTTTGAGATTCATGGCAATACTTATGAATACTTATGTACAGTACAGACCAAAAGTTTGGACACACTTTCTCTTTCAATGAGGTTCCTTTCTTTTCATGACTATTGACATTTAGTAGATTTACACACAGGCTGTGTTAGGGCTATTTGACAAAGAAG